CGCACTCCAACACACCAACATGCCACAACGTACCTCATTCGACATCCAGACCCCTTTGGAACAAGAGCAAAGACCACTAACAACGGATGGCCGCTGTTTGGAACTGCTCTAGTCGTAAAAAGGGGGAAATAAATCAGCCTTACTGGCGCTCGTGTATTAAACTAGGAGAAATAGCTGCAATAACTCAGATTTTTATTGTGTATAAGTGTAATGAAGAACAGGATAACCAAAATCTTTAGTAGTTTTACCACTTGTTATCTTGGTTTATAAATATATTCAAGTCTTATTATTAAGAGTACTTAATTGCAACCAACATCATGGAAAAAAACGATTCAATGTATTTACTCTGCCTGTGCACTGACATTCTTGAATCCTCAGACTTGGGTGTATATCCTTAAAATAGGGTGTATATCCTTAAAATAGTGTATATACTTAAAATAGGGTGTATATCCTTAAAACTGGGTGTAGATCCTTAAAATAGGGTGTATATCCTTAAAATAGTGTGTATATCCTTAAAATAGGGTGTATATACTTAAAATAGGGTGTACATCCTTAAAATAGGGCGAACATTCTTAAAATAGAGTGTATATACTTAAAATAGGGTGTATATACTTAAAATATGTTGTGTATATTTAAAATACGTTGGGTATACTTAAATTAGGGTGCATATACTTAAAACAGGGTATGTATTCCTTAAAATATGGTGTATATACTTAAAATAGGGTGCATATTCCTTAAAATATGGTGTATATCCTTGAAATATGGTGTATATGCTTAAAATAGTGTGTATATCCTTGAAATGGAGTGTATATGCCTAAAATAGTGTGTATGTCCTTGAAATGGGGTGTATATGGTTAAAAAATGTGTATATTTTAAAACAGAGTGCACATACTAGTGTGTGTATCCTTAAAATAGGGTGGATATATGGTGTATATGCTTAAAATGGGGTGTATATTCTTAAAATAGTGTGTATATCCTTAAAATAGGGTGTACATACTAGTGTATATCCTTAAAAATAGGGCGGGTATATGGTGTATATACTTAAAATAAGGTGTATATATTTTAGTGTGTATATCCATAAAATAGGGTGTATATCTTTAAAGTAGGACATATATCCTTACCATATGGTGTTTTATTGGTGTATATCTTTAAAATATGGTTTGTATGCTTAAAATAGGGTGTTTATTGGTGTATATCTTCGAAATAGGGTATATGTCGTTGTATATCCTTGAAATAGGGTGTAAATATATCGGCATATATCCTTGAAATAGGGTGTATATTTATCAGTGTATATCCTTCAAATAGTATATTTATCAGTTTATATCCTTGAAATAGGGTGTATATATATCGGCATATATCCTTGAAATAGGGTGTATATTTATCAGTGTATATCCTTCAAATAGGATGTATATTTATCAGTGTATATTCTTGAAATAGGGAATGTATTTACAAGTGTATACACACCGACATGTGTATACACTCGAGGTCAAGAGAGTTATTCAAGTGTGGGAACAATGGATGGCTCTATCGCCGGTGAAAGAAATCAACCAAGTTTGATAATTCAACCCCAAAAAAGAGCCTATTCACGGCCTAGCCAGACCTAGCCTAGATGGACGTGGCAACAAAGGAACCACAGCCAGCCCGGCCGTCCCCCTGTGCGTCCTGAAGCCCTGGCTAGCCCTCCTGGAGGCAGCATACATCAACATAACTCACACAGCTGCCACAGCATACATACATACACGCATACATACACATACATACAGACGCACCCGGGAAATACACCAGGGATCCACCGCACTCAGTCCATGCCAAGCATTCATAATTTACATTCGCCTCATGTTCATCCGTCTGTGTCAGTGGAATGATCCAATGGGGTGGCAGCTGAGGGGCGTTGAAGTATACAGGCATACAGGGGACCGGTATACATATACATAGCCGAGTGGATTACCAGCCCGCCGGCTCTAGGGTGACGCCAAACTTGGTGGATTATTATTTTAACGGTGGCCGCTGTTTTGTGTATTTAGCTGGCATGAGCGGCGTTTTATTTATGGAACGCTTGGTTGGGAATACGGGTGAATGGGAATGGGGATGTAATTCACTGCGGGATGCTGATTACATTAGCGTTTCATTAAATCCACATAAAACTTCATAACCCACTTCTATTGATTGCGTCCTTTTCCCTGATTGGCTGCTTAGGTTGGCTCAGGCTGCCAGCCGCATGATAACAACCCTCTCTTCACTACACCTTTTTTATAACTTTTCACAACTTTTCTATTTATTTAAGCAACGCGGCGTGTCCCACGCTGCAGTGTAATGGCGTTGAAAGTGTCGGCTGGGGGAAAAACAGTGTTTATAGGCGGGTAAATATTGGGGATTGGTATTAAAGAGGTTGAGCAACTGTAATGATTGCGACAGATGTATTAAACATGTGTTTGGTTGGAGCACAACTGTGTGGTGGGGGGGAGAGCAGGTTATCTTATTTCTGGTGTTGAGCACCACGCCAGCACCGCTAGCGAGGCTAGCTAGCGCTTGAGCGAGGCTAGCTGACGCTTGAGTGGGTGCTAGTCAGCTTATCTAGCACTTGAGGGTTCTAGCTAGCCTCGCGTCGGGTGCTCACTATCCATGAGTCAGCCTCCCTCTCCTCATCAGCCTTTTATCTGCTTATTTTCACCCTTACAGCGCACTACAGCATTTATTCCCCAGCGGCAACACCCGCCGTAAATAAATCGCCGCAAATGAAGCGGCATGTCGGTGAAAAACGCGAGAGAAAATGGTGAAATATACGAGTTGGTGCGGGCGCGGCAGACAACCATCATATGGATAAATGGTGAGGCGTGCGGGCGGGGACCTGGTGCGAGGCTACGAGTCAGACGCCTCCCCCGTCCTCGAACACCCGCCCCTGACTTCACTTCCGTTTGAATTAATTATAATCGAGCACGAGTCAGCATTCATGAGACACAATAGCTAGACGGCGCGCGGATTTCTAGCTGGATCCTGTCAGTATACATATCCCGGGTAATTTTAATGGCGCCCCAGGAGGCGATTGTTTAAACCAAAGTCTGGTACAGCTGCAGGGTTGGGATGAGCGTGGTTGTGGTTGGCGCTGTGGGTGAACAAATGTCCACCACCGCAGCAAAAACACCCGAGACACCTTCAACCAATTACAAATTCTTCCCAACTGTACTAGAAATGGCACCTTTGGGGGATTTATGAAGGATAATGGTGCGTGGGTTGGGTTAGATGAGATAGTGCGCAGTGACTGCTGTTATCTGCGGCAGCAGCTGCTGAGTACTGTGCTTCACCAAGTATTGAACGACTCACTAACTTCACTGACTGCATCATTAACTTTACTGCCTCACTATTAACTTCACTCCCTCACAAACTTCACTGCCTCACAAACTTCACTACCTCACTGCCTCACAAACTTCACTACCTCACTGCCTCACAAACTTCACTACCTCACTGCCTCACAAACTTCACTAACTACCTCACTAACTTCACTGCCTCACTGACTGCCTCACAAACTTCGCTGACTCATTAACTTCACTAACTGCCTCACTAACTTCACTACCTCACTAACTTCACTGCCTCACTGACTGCCTCACAAACTTCACTAACTGCCTCACTAACTTCACTAACTGCCTCACAAACCGCCTCACTAACTTCACTAACTACCTCACTAACTGCCTCACAAGTTTCACTACCTCACTAACTTCACTAACTGCCTCACTACCTTCACTAACTGCCTCACAAACTTCACTAACTGCCTCACTAACTTCACTGCCTCACAAACTTCACTGCCTCACAAACTTCACTGCCTCACTAACTTCACTGCCTTACAAACTTCACTAACTTCACTGCCTCACTAACTTCACTGCCTCACAAACTTCACTAACTTCACTGCCTCATATACTTCACTAACTGCCTCACCAAAACGAGCAACAAAAACTTGGTTGAGAACGCTCCATAAAAACCTAACTTATCTACAAATTCAATCCTGAAATTGGCGTTTTTTTTGTCTTAATTGGCTGCAGAGTTGATGAGAATCCCTGTATGAGTGTATGACTGTGTATTACACCCGTCAGGAGTCCTTCACTGATGCTCTCGATCCCAGGAAGTGGATCTCATCTCTTCCTCGGATCAGACTTGATTGTCTATTTCCCTAATGCACTGTATTACCCCTGCGGGTTTAGTGCTCTCCAGTAAATGTATTGATATACACTAACAATTGCAGTGAGCATCAATGTGTATGTCTGTGTATACATGTTCACTGTATGTGTATGCATATTCAATCTGTTGTGTATATATATTCGATGTAATGAATACATATTCAATCTGTTGTGTATACATATTCAATGTTGTGTATATTCAATGTATGTTGTGTATACATATCCAATATGTGTATACATATTCACTGTAGTGTATGAATCTAATTGAAATTGGTGTTTTTAAATTAAGTGTAACCTAGAGAGAGAATTCCCACCATAGCGAGCATGTATACTTTCCCAATTACAGTAAACATCGGCATACATGCAAACAAAAGTTCGGTATACAGTATACACAGAGTGTATCCTTACATACAAGTGTAATCTGTAATTGGCGTTCTCTTTTCTCTCTCAGAGTTCTCCGGCTCATGGGAGTTCTCTTATCAGCGGGGTGTATCTATAGAGCCCAATTAGAGCGAGCTTCAGTGTATATCCTTTGTGTAAACATCATCAATGCTGGTCCCAGGATGACTGGGGCCGTCACCATGGCAACCGGGTGTATTTCAGACCATCAATTTTCTTCCCCTAGGCTGGGACGTTCCTCACGCTGATTGGTTAGGTGGCGCGGAACGCCTCCACGGATTGGTCAGGTGAGTGGAAACTGGCTGTTGATTGGTCAGGTGGCGAGGATGGTGACTGGGGATTGGCTGTAATGGTGCAGCTGGTTCATGCTGGGGAGGGCTTGGGGCTGCTCTCTCTGGGGGCTGTCGGGGGGTGATTCAGCGAACCCGGGAACCTTCTCTATCCTCCCCATGTAGACCTGGACTCGCCTCCACACTGAGTACAGTGAAGACTGGGTTCCTCCCCGTCTGTAGACCGGTACTAGCCGCTATACTGAGTACACTGTAACCGGTTCGCTTCCCACTGGTCCTGCCTCTGATTACAGACCTGTACTCGCCTATACTCTGATTGCAGCACCACCTGTACTCACCTATACACTGATTCCGGTACCACCTGTACTCTTCCCGCCGCCGCTGAGTCACTACGCATTATGCAAATGCCGCGAGGGGGAAAAAATTGGTGCCTATTTTGAGTACACCAAGTACACAGAGGTACTTCAAGCCTGCTCCACCAGTTGTCACCTGACGCCATTAAGTACTCTGGGTCACCTAATACGCCATTAATAGTATTCTGGTCACCTAGGACGCCATCTTTGAACCAGCTGCACCATCATGGGACCAAGACCACTCGTATAGATGGTTAGCAGCCCACCAGTTAACCAATTTATGCCCATTCCAGACTATTAGATGACTTTGGCAAGAATTTTTTGCGTGTGCTTTACGAAGATAACGAGAATTGATGCGGTGTTGCACGCATAAACCAGCCAGCACGTGATAATTGATGATAAACGTGGTTTATGTAGAAAATTAAACCTGCTGGTTTGAGGATTTGGTTGAACGGGAGTTTATAAACTGAACGACAGCGAGTGGATAGTTGAAGGGACGTCTGGACTGGTTATGGAGCTCTACTGAGTGGAGAGAGCGCGAGAGAGCAGTGTTGCCGGGGGGAGGAAATTGTGGCCCTATTTTAACCTGACTCGCTGGGTTTAGCGGTGCTAAAAGCCCCATTAACACCAGTAGGAAGGCGGGGCTAGCCTTGGCGCGGATTGTGACCTGTGTATTGAGCGGATAGAGACGGATAGAGACGTCAGGGTGGTGTTGCGCCACCCTTATCCACGCGTCAGCTGGACTGACTTCAGTAGCATTGCGTCAGCCATAGGGCCTTGACGTCAGTACTTGTAAATTATAAACCCAGTGGCGTTGAGATATAGTGAATTATAGTGCTTGCTGACTCAGAGATACCGTGGTCAGTGATACACATGTGACATTGTATCAAGGATGAGGTGATTTATATATTTGCTGATTATCTTAGGATGAACTTGTAAGGTAAGAGCCACATATGTTGGTCATTTATTGCTTTATGTTGTAGTTATGTGGATAAGTTATGCTGTATTTTTTTGTAATGTATATGTAATGGGGCATGTACGATTATGTAGTTATGTTGTGGTTTATGTGTATGTGGTATATGTAAATATGTTGTGGATAATGTGTATGTGGTATATGTAGTTACGTTGTATGTGTAGATATATTGTGCCGTTATGTTTGTATGTTGTCAGTTATGTGTAATGTAGTTTGTGTAGGTATGTTTACCTATTACCTGGAGTGTACTTTGTGGAGAGTAGTTATATTGTTTGTGTGGTTGTAGTTTGAGTAGTTATGTTGTGGTTTATAAGTAGTTATGTTTCGGTTTATGTTGTGGTTTATAAGTAATGTGGTTCATGGGTAGTTATTTTGTTTTATAAGTAGTTATGTTGTAATTTATGAGTAATGCTATGACGTTATTTTGTGGTTTATTAGTTATTTTGTGATTTACGAGTAGTTGAGTAATGTGATTTATGAGTAGTTATGTTTTGGTTTGTTATGTTGTAGTTCATGTTGTGGTTATGGTTAGTTATTTTGTTTTATAAGTAGTTATGTTGTAATTTGTGAGTAGTTATGAAGTTATCTTGTGATTTATTAGTTATCTTGTGATTTATTAGTTATCTTGTGATTTATTAGTTATCTTGTGATTTATTAGTTATCTTGTGATTTATTAGTTGTGATTTATTAGTTATCTTGTGATTTATTAGTTATCTTGTGATTTATGAGTAGTTGTGGTTTACATGTAGTTTTGTTTTATATGTAATGTTGTGGTTTACATTTAGTTATGTTGTGGTTTACGTGTAATGTTTGTGTAGTTTTGTTTACATGTAGTTATGTGGTTTATTATTTATGTTTTGGTTTATGAGTAGCTATTTTATGGTTTATGTGTGATGTCATTGAAAGGAGGACTCTGGGCAGCTTTAAAAATAAGTTAGATAGGTACATGAATGGGCGTGGTTGGGTGAGTTAGACCTGCCTAGCATGGGCCAGTAGGCTTATGGCATTGTTTCCTTATGTTATTATGCTGTGGTTGTGAGATATTGTGGTTTATGTAATATGGTTTTTTGTGCATTTGTGGTTTATGTGTAATGTGGTTTATGTGTAGTTGTGGTTTTTGTGTAGGTATGTTGTGGATGTGTAGGTATTTTGCGGATATGTGTATATTGTGGATGTGTAGGTATGTTGGGGATATGTGTATGTTGTGGATGTGTAGGTATGTTGTGGATGTGTAGGTATGTTGCGGATATGTGTATGTTGTGGATGTGTAGGTATGTTGTGGATGTGTAGGTATGTTGTGGATGTGTAGGTATGTTGCGGATATGTGTATGTTGTGGATGTGTAGGTATGTTGTGGATATGTGTAGGTATGTTGCGAATTTTGTGTCGCTATACTGTGGTGTTTGTGTAAGTACTGGTTTGGTAATAGAGTTGTGGATGAGTGGAACAAACTCCCAAGTACAGTTATAGAGGCCAGAACGGTGTGTAGCTTTAAAAATAGGTTGGATAAATACATGAGTGGATGTGGGTGGGTGTGAGTTGGACCTGATTAGCTTGTGCTACCAGGTCGGTTGCCGTGTTCCTCCCTTAAGTCAAGGTGACCTGACCTGACCTGACTAGGTTGGGTGCATTGGCTTAAGCCGGTGGGAGACTTGGACCTGCCTCGCATGGGCCAGTAGGCCTTCTGCAGTGTTCCTTCGTTTTTATGTTCTTATGTAGTTATGTTGTAGTTCATGTAATGTGGTTCATGTAGTTATGTTGATCAAGGTCCCAGGAGCAAAACGTTTTCTAACATGGCCTAGTGTTTGCTTACGTGTTTTTTTAAAGCAACGTGTAGTTGTATTGTAAGTTGCATAGTTCTATGGTTTATGTAGCCGTGTTGAGTTTAGTTATGGTAGGGTTTATGTAGTGGTATTTTTTTGCGGTGATTTGCGTTATGTAGCATCTTTATCCCATGGTTTTTATGTTGTAGTTATGCACTGTGGTTTGTTGTAATTTTATACCATGGTTTACGTTATGCTACGTTATGTTATGACACAGTGTAACTACATAAAACCATAGCATATATACGCTATGGTTTTATGTAGTTACGCTGTCATGTGTAGCCTCGCTACATATTATATATATATATATTATATATATATATATATATATATATATATATATATATATATATATATATATTATATATATATATATATATATATAGTGAATGATGGTGAAAGTTTTTTTTATTGGGCCGCCTCACCTTTGTGGAAAATGGCCGATGTGTTAATAGAAAAATAACTTGTGTGTATTAAAAAATACCGTCAAGGTGGGTATTTATAACCACTGAAAAAGTGGTGTGTAGAAAAGGGATGTCAGTTGAATGATATTTTGGAGTGACCTGATCCTTTTGAGCAGTTTTGAGCAGTTAATTTTAGTTAAATGAATAAGGTCATTGACTTGTGTTATTCGCATTCATTCATTTATATATATATATATATATATATATATATATATATATATATATATATATATATATATATATATATATATATATATATATATAGACGTTTCGCCTGCCCCGGGCTTTCTCTAGCCTGTATTTTGAATAGAAAAGAGACAGGTCAGGCGAGTCATGTGGGAGAGAGGGGGTGGGGTCAGGTGCCGTGAGGTCAGGTGTTGTGAGTCACTTGTTTGTGCATCACGTGGCTTACACACCTTTACCTGACTTCCCAACACCTGACCTCACCGTACCTGACTCCAACGTACCTGACCTCAGGGCCGCGCCTGACTTCACAACACCTGACCTCAGTCCACTATATTTTTTTTTTCTGTTCTCTACTGGAGTGGGTCACACTGGGCGAAACATCAAACAAATGTTCTTAGTATTGCATATTGATGTGTTCAGCCTATTCTCATAATTAAATTCAGTATTTCAGTTTTATTGAGAGACTGGGACGGTTGACTGTTACACGAGCCCTTAACAGTACTTATCTAACTGTCGTAAATTTCTCTGGGACCAAAATGGTTCCTTACCTGGAGGTTATTCCGGGGATCAACGCCCCCGCGACCCGGTCCATGACCAGGCCTCCCAGTGGATCAGGGCCTGATCAACCAGGTTGTTACTGCTGGCCGCACGCAGTCCAACGTACTAGCCACAGCCCGGCTGATCCGGCACTGACTTTAGGTATCTGTCTAGCTCCCTCTTGAAGGCAGCCAGGGGTTTATTGGTAATTCCCCTAATGCTTGATGGGAGGCTGTTGAACAGTCTTGGGCCCCGGACACTTATAGTGTTTTCTCTTAGTGTACCAATGGCGCCAGTATTTTAATTGGGGGTAATTTGCACCGCCTGCCCAGTCTTTTATTTTCGTAGGGAGTGATTTCTGTGTGCAGATTCAGGACTATTCCTTCTAGGATTTTCCAGGTGTAGATTATGATATATCTCTCTCCTGCGTTCCAGCGAATACAAGTCAAGTGCTTCCAAGCGTTCCCAGTAGTTAAGGTGCTTGACAGAACTTATACGTTCTGTACACTTGATGGCAGTATACACTAGGTTGTGGTATACTTGGAGAGGGTTTCGGGGGTCAGTGCCCCTGCAGCCCGGTCTGTGATCAGGCTTCATGATGGATTAGGGCTTGATCAACCAAGCTGTTACTGTTAGCCGCACGTAAACCGACGTACGAACCACAGCCCGGCTGGTCAGGTACTGACTTTAGGTGCCTGTCCAGCGCCTTCTTGAAGACAGCCAGGAGTCTGTTGGTAATCCCCCTTGTGTGTGCTGGGAGGCAGTTACAGTCTTAGTGTTAAACTTATCTAAATCTTTAAATCTGAATATTTCTAACTTGAATCAGGTCTGAGTTTTGTGTAGTTTTAAAAATAGGTTAGATAGATACATGAGTGGGTGTGAGCTGGACCTGACTAGCTTGTGCTAGTGGGTCTGATGTGCCTTTTCCTTAAGCGATGTGACCTGACTAGGTGGGTCATTGATCTAAGCCAGGGGCGACATGGACCTGCCTCGCGTGGGCCAGTAGGCCTGCTGCGATCCTAATTTCTTATGTTCTTATTAACGTAAGTAGCACCTGCCTAGCAAAGCCAGTAGGCCTACACAGCAGCTCCTGGTTGAACATTAATAGCAGCTGACAGTAAGCTCTGTGTAGTTCCGGTTTTGTTAGGTAAGACACATATGCAACAGTTAGGTATCTTTATTTCGAAACGTTTCGCCTACACAGTAGGCTTCTTCAGTCGAGTACAGAAAAGTTGATAGAAGCAGAAGAGACTTGAAGACGATGTAATCAGTCCATCAGTTCCGTTTTTAATCGTATTTAGATTGGACAGTTTTGATGCAACTCTAAAAGCTAGAACTGAAGCAGTGACACTGAACAAGTTCTTACTAGGACAGTAATTAGACATTAAAATTTGTATTAAATACACGAGGCTGTTAAGATCTATATGATACAGACGAGGCTGTTAAGATCTATATGATACAGACGAGGCTGTTAAGATCTATATGATACAGACGAGGCTGTTAAGATCTATATGATACAGACGAGGCTGTTAAGATCTATATGATACAGACGAGGCTGTTAAGATCTATATGATACAGACGAGGCTATTAAGATCTATATGATACAGACGAGGCTATTAAGATCTATATGATACAGACGAGGCTATTAAGATCTATATGATACAGACGAGGCTGTTAAGATCTGTATAAAACAGACGAGTAGTTTTTTTAGGTGCAATTTTTACACATTTTTTGGACGATTACATTCGCCTTACATAGTAATGTACTTGCAAATTTCCTGTATTATTTTTAATAACTCAAAAAGTAAGATAGTTATTTCCATTGGGCATCTTGTACCTGTTATAGTCTCGGTCGTTCATTGTTCTGTATTCTTATATTAAGTACTAGTTATTTTTTTAAGTTGTAAGGTGTAATTCATTAAGGTTGGTAGTTCCTGGCCAGGGACAAGAACCCTGAGA